CTTTGATTTACATGCCAATTGAGTATGGCCGAGTCTGCCACAATTTAAACATTGGCGAAGTGGTGGTATAAAAAAATCAACCTTCAGCTTGGTGTAATCAAGTACTATGGAATTTGGAATGTCTTTACCAATGAACCCAATCTTAATTGTAGTTGTAGGAGTGAAACCGTTTTCACCATCCCTACGCTTAAAACGCCACACCGTATTTATAGGCACAGAGGAGATCGCATTGTTTTTAATTTCAGAATCGCTATATGAGGTGGGGATGCCCCTAACTACCCCATAAGTTTCTATAGCCGACCTAGGCACAAATGAACGCAGACCAATACTCTTGACTTTGTCATTCAAGACAAAATTGTTAGCCGACGCATATTTAAGAAAAACCACTTTATAAAGTGTTTTACCAACAGCCCGTATTGAGTCAATGTCTTTAATTTTCAGATGTTTGATTCTGCTATGCAGAGTCAAACCATTCCTGATTTTTTCATTACACATCTCCTTACACATAGATGAATCAACCAAAACAAAATAGGCACCTGCGAAATTGTCTGGATATAATACCATGTCACCCACTGTATTTTTGTTATGGCCCCTATTATGAGTTGCATTCGATTTTCGACTGTGGTCGAAAGTGCTGAGCGAACGAATTTTCATTTGGTATTATGACGCTCATTCGATGAAGAATAGCGCTATTGTGAATTTCGCTCGTTTAGGTTGTTCACAATAGTATATTTTTCACCGCTGAGAAGCTTTGTTTACAAATCGAGCAAACTAAATATTGTGCTTATACATATTTATGTAAATTTGTTCTAATTAAAATGAAGTAAAAAAAAGAAAGCAAGTTTATAAAAACGTGGTAAAATGAGTACAACGAGTTCTGGTTCAACGATTCGTCGGAGGATGAGAGCTAAGTAAACTGGCCAGGAGTAGCAAATGTTTAAGAGAGTTTAAGTTTATTAGTCTTTCGAATATATTTTGATATAAAATATATTTAAGAAATTTGTCTACAGATTCATTAAAAAGTTCCGACCATCTAAAGAAGCGTTTGTGAGCCAAATCTATTTAAAATATTTTAAAACTATCAACAGCGCTACGATTTTGTTCTCAGAGATCGCGCCAACAGAGTATTGGGATTTTCTGTCACAAGTAAAACCAGCCTTTCGAGCTTGTGTTTAGTATTCGCGATGTTAGAACTGCATGAAATTAATAAAAATTGTTTAAAATTAGTGTCTAGCCGCCAAAATGTAAGAAAACATATACAAAATCATACATTTTTAACAATTTTCTAACACTTCGCTACACCATCGAAAGTAAAATTCTGTTCGACAGAAAATTCGATACTCAACGCAATTTTCGACACGCTTGCATAGCTCATAATACGAATTTCACTTTCGATCTTCGATCTTCGATAGCCAGCGAAGATCGAAAATCGAATGCAGCTCATAATAAGGGCCTATGTCCGTTTTCACTTATTTTCTTTGTAATATCGTCTAGTCCGTTTTCATTAATTGCGTTTGTAGTGTTGTCTCGCTCCTTTACACTTGCATTTGCAAAACTGTCTTGTCCGTTATCCGACGCCACAAACGACGCCTCACCAACCGTTGCAGTTCCGTTATTTTCAACACACATAGAAGAGTCGCCATTTTCATCACCAGCAAACCCAACCTCACTGGAAGTACAGTCAACTAAAATTTTGTCCAAATCTTGGCCTCTAAGTGACTTGACAAGCTTTAGCTCCCTATCTCTCTTGAACCTCTTGCCTCTTGCAAGGTTGGAGTTCACTAGCGAGTCAAAATCCTCGGCCGACGACGCCCTCGACATTGATGT